GCCGAGGGGCTGTCTGAGCTGGCGGCTGGGCTTCCCTTGCTGTGTCGGAGGGCTGTTGCCAGGCCTTTCTTCCATTAATTTGTCTAATCCCTCTTTAATTTATGCACGCTTCTGGCATCTAGGAGGTTTCCTGTGGTGATGAGTTCCACAGTTGGGTTATGCAGTATATGTTCACGTGAGAGCCCTCTGCTCCAAGATAAGACGCTGTCCTGTATAGGAATACACTGAACTACTTCCAAGTATGCCTGTACTGTAACTTTTGTCCAGCATTAGCGAGATTGCGACACTTTAATCGTACCAATACAATGGAAGATGCACAACCGAGAGAGGTGACAAGGCCTCAGTGTGTGCTACTGAGTTGGGGTTGATTTTTAAATTGTTCTCAGATGTTTGTAAAGCAACCTGTTTGACTTCTAGGTGGCTCTTGGAGGAGGCGACTCGGCTGTGCTCTCCAACGTCATCGATGAGCTTGTAAGGTTCCGCACAAAGGTTCGTCATTATGCGCTTGCTCTGCCGGAAGAAGCAGCAGAAGCTGTGCCAACGGAGGGCGCTGCGGGAGCCAAAGGACCAAAACAAGAACAGAAGGAAAAGAGGCAGCAGTTAATGGAGGAGAGAAAACCCCTCCTGGAGGCTTGTGACAGTCTGCGCAGAGACCTTGCTGCCTTTGGAATCCACATAAAGGTAGAAGACAGTGACCCTCTTTGAGACCGTTAGCCATTTTTTAAGACGGCGTTTATTTTTGCCCTTCGTGCCCCTTCGGCAGCTTTCAGTGTTGTGCCCTGCTCCCTGTACGACTGCAGTAGCAGGAGGTGGAAGTTAAGCCCTTGCCTGGTTGTACTGCTAGCTTTCTCTTCTGCTCCCCCTCAACCTCGTGTCTTCATGCAAGCTGTAGCTACTTCTGCAGTTACTAAGGGTCTGGTACTTAGGCACTGAAAATCACGTAATATTCAGAAATCCCTAAGTTGCCCAAGTTCAATCCAGGAGGAAAGGTATGAGTAATGTGTACAATTTCTAAAAATTTAGATTGCAGAGGAACTGGAAAGTAAACTGAGATGACTTACGAAAATAATGCCTTCCCTCTACCCTCCCCACATTCCCCCACCAAAATGGTAAGTCCTCACGAGAAAGCCTCTTCCGTCTTCAGCAGCTCCATTCCCAACTGTTCCTGAGCCAGAAGTACTTTGCCCGATTCCTGTACCACTCCTCTCTCCACCCTGCTTTCTACTCTTAGCCTATACCTAATGCCACTGTTCTTTTCCATTACCCCAATGGTGTTTTCTGCTCAAGAGAAATCCCTTCACTGCCTTACGCTCTCCTCCTGGTCTCAAGGTGCTACCTTACTTCTTTAAGGGGTGCCTCTTCTTCCAGTTCCTCTTGCTTCACCGCCCTTCTCACCTCAGCTCCAGCCCTTGTTGGGTCAGGGTTGCTCCTTACGTGCAGAATAACCCTCCGCTTTCTCTCCAGCGCCTTTCTCCCTCCGGGTCACGCTGCTCGTTTTTTCCCTCGCTGGGGAACTGAGCCTTGCACAGTCTCCTTTCATTCGTTTTACCAATGGGAGGATATAAAGCACAATGACATTAGGGAGTGACAGCATACATCCTCTTTAATTGCTGAACGTGAGAGCTGTCATTTGTCAACACACCTATTAAAACCAAATGCGAAGTGTGGTCAGCTGTCTCATGATCTCGGATGAAAGGGAGCGTGCTGATACAAACTGGGGTGAGGGCCAAAGCGCGGTGGTGGTGAGCTACAGCTGGGAAAGCAAAGGGAAGACTGTGGGAAGCTGGGACACCTGCTTCCTTGACTTGTTTGTACATAGCTAAATCCTCGCTCTACTTATCTGTCAGGAAAGCTTGCAAATCCAAACAACTGCGCTGAGGCAAAGTCTTGGAGAAGACGGCTCTCTTTTGATCTATTTGGCAAAGCGGCTGCAGCCCCACCCCCACCCTTTTGAAGATTTGTTTTGGGTTGTTTTTAAAGGGATTTACAGACATTTAATAACGTCCTAGAAATTGGCCTTAGCCAGGATTCAGCCCACTCCACTTATTTCAGTTTGTTTTTTTTAATAACCTGAAGCTCGGCATAATCTGTCTCCTGCTTGTCCCAGAACAGTTTGCTCCTGAGGACGAAGCACACATGCACGTGTGACTACACACAGCACGCATCCAAAGCTGAACTCCTCCTCTTTTTTTTTTTGCTGCCTCATGAGTAGAAGTATCTGAAGGTGTGCTGTGAAGGTTGCCCAGCTCTTGCCTTTGCAGATCCCAGAAGAGTCCCGCAAACCGAGCGATGCAGCTCTGCAGTTCCTCGTGTGCGTTCCCAGAGCGAACACATGACAAGCCGTGGCCCTACCCAAAGCGGGGCTCTCGCCACCCTCCTGCTCAGCACGGGTCTGCGTGGCTGGGTTGGTTGGCTGCCCTGGGTTGGCTATTGCCAAAAATGCCACGGTAACACAGCGCCTAGCAGCTGGGTCCTGCATGCCTAATAAGCACTCGAGGAAGTAACTTGAATTTCTCTTTTCTACCCAGCCTCTGGTTTCCATGAAACTTTTATCATCCCCACGATAGGCACGCGGTAACGCATCTGTTAACACGCTCTCCCTCTGTCACGTGCGGCTGAAGTCAGCCAGCAACTTCTCAAGTCCATGTGCAGGAGGAAAAGCAGCAGAAGAGATGAAGCAGACGAGCCCCATCTCCACCCAGTGCAGACTAGAAGCCCCTGGTTTGGGGCTGGGCCCGGAGGGGTTGGCCACTCTAGGGTGCGAGTAGCAACTTAGAGTAACGCTAGTAACTTAATTCCCTTAAAAATCAGCTTTGTAGAAAGAGCAATTTCTCCTTCAGCTTGTAAGTTTGTGATTTTCTGTACGCTGGTTTCCTCTCTCACGCTGCTCGGCGCAGACGATGTTCTGTTTGTCTGAAGTTACAGAACTTGCAACAAACTGATTAAAGTATCCACTGCTCTTTTCATGTCATTATAGTGTGCTTGAAATGCAAGCTAATCTGTGCTACTAAGTGAAATGTAGTAATTACGTTATTTACACATCAAAACCAGTTTTCACTTTAGTGTAAAGAAAATTCTACATTGTATTCCAGCCTCTCTCACGAGTCAGAGCTCATGTAACATCGTCACGTTTCAATACTCAGATCAACTTTTGTTTTGTTTTCAACAATCGCGGTCCAACAGCTCAGTCTTAACAGTCAGAAATTCCCAGTTTGACTGCAATATTCTCTTTCAAAAATATGACGGCATTGCATGACGGGTATTTACAGCAACAGGCTGCTATCCTAGAATTCAGAAGGAGATCAAATATGTTAGGCACTATGTTCTCATGTGTTGGCCGTAAGAAGAGCCGTTTTCCATGCACACCAGCTGTTCAAACACGAGAATGTGACTGCCCGAGTTTAACAGAAGTTAGTCATACGAGAGACCGCGCACCACTGCAGCATCCCACGCTAAAGAGGTGACATTTCTAGTGTGGGGTTTGTTTTTTTTTTTCCTTCTTAACTGGGAAGAATTGCCTGGGTACAGCTTTGAGCGTTATTAGTAACAGTGGTATTCCCGTGAGATGGTATCGCCATGGAGTCGTAGCTTTTCTGTACGAAGCTTGGTTAAAAACCTGTGCCTCCAAGTACCCACCCACGTACGGTGCCTGCGTGACCCAGGCTGCGGGGGTTGACCCCCTTACTTCTCCTTGCAGGACAGAGCTGCCGTTTCAACCTGGGAGATTGTGGAAGGAGGGCAAGCGGAGCAGCACTCTGAGAAAAGAAGCTGATCCTTCATCCTTGGACCTTTTTGGTTTTTTATTTCATTTCAGCTGCTTTGGCAACAGTTGTAAATACTAATGCTTTCCAAATAAAATCTTTGGAACCGAATGGCTAACAAAGTTATAATGCAATCTGAGCAAAACTGTTGATGCTACTACTGGGTAAATAAATACAGGGCTCGCAGCAGGTGTGTACGCGGCGTAGGTGGTGGAAGCGTCCGCAGTACAGGGCAGGATGGAAGCAGCTGTGTTGTCAGGCCTCAGCGTGTTCTGATGCAGGAAATGCCCCAGCTCCAATCGCTACGTGATCTGTGCTCGCACCCTGTTTTGCTGAGCTGGCGCTGAGAATTAAATCGTAGTCAAGACAGAGGCAAGAACTTAGGCCCGTCTTTGAGGGTGAAAACACTTAGTTTTATGCCCCCGGGTTTAAACAATTGTGTTCCTCTCAGGCATAGAAGGAGGTGACACTTTTAGCCGTGAAGTATTTCCTTATTGCAGCGTTGCCGGTTTGCTCCTGGGAGATCTTTAACCGTAATATGACAGTATGCGGTTACCTGTAAGGCTCGGTATCTTTCCCATTTGCTTTTGCACAGAATACATTGAGGTTTCCCTAGCACTGGGAGTGCAGCACGCTCAGGATCTCGCCCTCAGAATTGGGAAGATAAAATTAGCGTGTTTAGTTATTACCTGTTTGGTTACCTTTTTTCTTTTGCCATGTCTGCCTTAACCCCCCCCCCCGGACGGTGTGGCTGTAGGCAGATGCGGAGGGGCCTGCCTTACACATGAGGCGACCTGTGTTCTAGTGGCCGAGTTTATAGGGGGCTTGTGCTTACCTACCAGCATCCCTTCTTCAGATCAGTTTATGAAAAGAGAACGAAAATAAGAACGTGCGTTCATCTACAAGGAATTTCGCCTGAAAATACAATTCACACAGGTGAGCTGTTCAAAAGGATAAAGGCTTTCTTTTATATTGTTGAGAATAAAGCGCGTAGCTCTTTTTCTGCTCCCTTTCTGGTTCTCGGTGCTCCTAGAGAGGATCCTAGAGAAGAGGGGGGGGTGGTGGTGGTGGTGGTGTGTGTCTTCATTAGCGCTTTGGCAGACGCTTGTTGGACACTGTTGGTATTTTAAATTTGCTAGTGGCCGTATTGCTCCAGTAAACTAGAATGAACGGCGAACAGTCAGCTCGGCTTCCGTGGGAAATGCGGTGGGAACATACCAAACCAAGGACACGCAATTAATTTCCTATTATTTTTATTTCCTACCAAAAGAAACTGCTACATTTCCAGAATGTTTAAAAATTGTAACAATTTGTATACATTAGTGAATAACAGAGTTACAACTTCTGCGTAGATTTAAAACCAACACGGCAGGTTGAAATCTGTACTGAGCTCTGTTAATTGATTGACTTCGCCTACAAATGCCATTTAGATTATAATACCACTGATGTTCTAAATACAAAGAACCCGCTCATTTTAAAGGAAAGCCAGTAGCTTTTTTAAAATCAGTTTTAACTTTTTGATTATATTTAAAAGGAGCCGGGCTTCAAAAAGAGTTAGAGGGGGAAAAACAATAGTAGCTTAGTTTCCCTGTAGACAGTTTACAAAACTGCTTAAATTAAACACCAAAGACCCATCTCTTATGAGCAGACGTTGCTCTAATCTAAAGTCTGTGAACCCTCATAGACCAAAATGAGCAAACATTTAAAAACCTATTTTAAAAATAGGTAACTGGTTTAAAAAGAAAAACGAAAATGCATCGGGGTGAGGTAGTAGTCACAGTGCATCCAGAAATATCAACTCTAAGGGCTGAAGGGAAATACCCGGAGCAGCCTTTCCCATCCCAAGTGCTTCCTGCGGGCAGCTATTGCAAGGTACGAGAATGCCGCCTGACCAGTCTGCACGACACCGCATTCCAACCTAGAGCTAGACTGCTGGAAAAGAGCGGCTGCAATGAATATATAACATCTACCGCAATAACCAGACACGTTCTACCCTTGTTCCTGCGCTTTGGCGAGGATATACACTTGGAGCTAGACTGTCGGTTTAAGGGCAGGACCCACTCAAACGTACTTTGCGTGAACTTGCCCCTCTCTCCATATTGGTTCGATCCCTACAAGCTTTGACTGAATTTCCAAAAATTTAAGAAACGATACTGTGCAAAATCCCACGCAACTCCCCCTTTATACCCGACGCTCATCTGCCCTGCCAACGAGCCAGATGACAGACGGGACTTCTGCTGTTAGGGCCGTACCCATCTTGCTAAGGATCCCGCAAAAAGCCCCTAAGCCCCGGTGCTGCGCTCGGAGCTCGAGCACCGACCACCACGTTTCTATTCCTGACTTCCAGCGTACAGCTGCCTGCACAGCACTCAGAGGGTACGGGTACGTGCTGTCGCCTGCCTTTTGTTCCTTCAATTCATATTCCCGCTGGTTAATAGCTAGCCACCGAGGTATCTGTACGCTGGTCTTCTCAGAGCTCTAACTCAGCAGGCCGTTTGAGTTTTAAAAGCACTTCGCTCCTCCATGATCACCGAGAGTTTGACCAGTTCAGTCAGGTATCGCTAAGTTTCTTACCCTGTCTAGTACCTCTCCAAATGATAATTTCACAAAGTTCATCAAATCGAGTTCTAAATGAGTCACGGCCAGCTAAAGGAATAGAAAGTATTTTTTTTCAGGTAAGCACAATTACTGTTTAATGCTAAGACACCTACAGTATATCCGTATTCTGCGGTGGGGGAACCTTTACAAAAACCAACAAAACAAACCACCGAACCACCAGGACGTTGCAGGCAGGGGTGTCTTGTCAAAATGAACGCTGCCTCTGGGACCGGGAATGGGAAAAGGCAACTAATTACATTCAAAATCTACAGCAACTCTCACGCATTCCCTTTCCGAAGAGGCTTACTTTTTGCTTCTTAATAGACTAGCGTGGCAAAAAATGAAGTGCAATAGCTAATTCTAGACAGAGGGTCTAAGAATGAAAACATGACAACCTTGGCGCAATCCAAGAAATTCAGTTGAGCTGGTGGAAGAATTTTATCTAAGTATCAAGTGCATTTTTTTTTTTTTTTTTTGCTGTTCACACTTTAGTTATTGCTCAATAACTATCAAAAAGAACAGAGGAATACTTTCAGTTTAGTTTTATTATATTATAACAGATCTGCAACTACAGCTTATTTCAGCCAAAACATTTTTGTATTCCAAACTCTTAAAAAATATCTACATTAATCATATTTTTCTATTCTTAAAAATAAAAAAAAAAAATCTACCTAGCATACCAATGCTGCTACAGCACTTGAAAGGGTGCATTACTTATGTAAATTCTACGGTAAATGTAATTACTCTTGCAGTCATTGTTCTTCCTTTTTTTCTTCTCTGCCGCTGTGGCTTCAGGTTTCAAAAAGTTTGTTAAAAGCTGTTCCAACTTCTGAGACCATGTCAGAGGCAGTCATTGAACGTCCGAATTTTTGAAAGGCTTGGTGGTTAGACTGCCTCGTAAGAGAGCAAGCTCCAAATGCAGCCACTAGAAAGGGATTTTGACTAAAAGGGAAAAAAAAACACCAAAACAACCAACATTATAAACAAAATCTGAACACTCTTGCGTAATTCATAAGGTGGTGGACATAATCCTTGTACCCCTAAATGTTTGTCAGCATTGTCGGGAAGGCCTCTTAAGCAAACATCTGTGTTTCTCAGACTCGTGCACTGCAGAGCACCTTTGGCTGAATTTTTTTTTAACAAATACTTCCCTTCCCATGACACAGCCTGTGACTGAGTGAGAAACACCGGCAGGGCCGAAGGATGCAAGAGGAAAACGTGCTTAAAAAGTGGGTAGGAAGGTGTTCCACGCCTAGTTTTACCGATGTGACACTTCATCCTTCCCTTCAGAGGAAGGCTGAAGTCTCACCTGGCAGCCGTTTAACTCCCTTTTTCTTCCCCGCTCGCTGGGTAACTCAGTTTAGTTTCTATCACAGGGGATGGGGGAAGGACGTGGGGATGCGGACGAAGAGGTGATTTTTAACAGGGCCACAGTCACTGCTCCGGGGCCTTCATTAGATCAGGGTACGGTGACAGGTGTAGACCACAGCAGAAATCAAGGCGCACTCTCTTAATGCCTCCTACACGCTTACAAACTGCCTAAGAGGGTGTACCCAGCCCTCAAGTGCTGAACCTCCGCCGAAGAAGGCGGCACAGCCCCGCCACCTCCAGAGCACCTTCTCACAGGCCACGGGAGCCGCTTCTGCTGCCTTACAGCTCCAGAGCAGAGGAAAACAACTGCAGAGTAATTCAGCAGCCAGCCCTGGGCTCCAGCTGCTGGCTGGTTAAAAACCTCACAAAGCTCAGCCACGGCTGGGACATCGCTGCCGGTAAGTCACTAGGGACCTACTGACTCCTGCGCCAAGTAAGAGTTTTGTGAAGGATCACGGCGTAAAACACAGGCAAAGCAGAACGTGAGTTTACAATGAGGTGTTACCAGGGCAGCTTTGAGTATCTTTTCCTTGAAAACAGCAACTTCATACACTCACCAAGGTGCAGGAGTGAGTATTTAAGCCATCCTGAGAGTCACTCCCAGATGCCCAAATACTGCTCTGAAACACGAGCTGTGCGCAGGCTTCTGGGCTCAAGACGGCTAAAGCACCGATTCCTGAGGTTACCGCGTAACCAGTTTGATACACACCATGCTCCAAGGACATCACCTTAGCACCCTGTCTACTTAACAGGAGAATCCTACCTGCTATACCGTTAGCACCCCTGAAAGCCAGTGCGATCTTAATGCTTCAACATCCTGCTCCGCACAGACCCGTTTTGAAACAACAGAGCCAGGCACGAGCGCGGAAGGACTGGCTGGACAGCCTGCAGTGCAGCCTACGAGCTGGTGCCCTAATTCACTGAACCCAAAAAGCTCCTCCTTTCCTCAAACATCATGAGATAAACAGCATTGGTACAGCAGGTGTTTGAGAAGGGTCACCTTAACACCACCACAGGAGACACAATGTATTGCTGACGCCAATTATACTCTCCCACTTTTCCTTCATCTATAAAATAAAGGACTTTCTGAGCAAGCTGTTTCGGAAAGCCACAGGGGCCCAAGTCAGGAAAGCCTGGAGAACATGTGCTGCGTTTGCTAATCTCTCCAACAATTTAATACGGATCTGTTGTACACCACACAAAAATAAAGTCACCCTTTTAACGAAGTAAAACAAAATTCCTCCTTTAGCGGCAGCTGCAACTTCAGATACACAAGCAATCTTGGTTTCATTTTTCATTCTGGGTATGTTAGATTTCAGAATTTTAAAGTCTGGTTCAACTGGTCCCTCAGTCCCCCTGGGAGACCTAGTGCAGTGCTCTCACAGTAATGCAAGCACAAACTAGTTAACTCCCGTGGACATCGAACCGTGTGCATCTGCATGTAGCATCCAAAAGGCTACAGAAGGTCTCCACTCCTCAAGCTTCAATAGCTCACTACTTATTGGGAAGAGGGACTGCTATTCCCTAACTGCTTGTGTCAGGGTTCCTTTCAACTTTATTTAAAGCAGCTGCTTTCGCAGAAAGACTATGTGGACCAACTAGTCGGACGGGAATGGACATATTTAACAAAAGAGCCAACAGCCAGCTGCACGGCTGCTTTACGTACGACCAAACTGGACTGCCATTTGGCCTTAAAATGGTTACCCTCTTTGAAATTGTATTTCATTTGCAAGTTTCAACTTACCTGCCCCACCAAATTACTTGGGTACAACGCAAGAGGATTCACCAAATTACGAAACCAAAGCTAAATGACACGGATTTGGATTATAGAGATGTTACTGCCAGTGACCACCACTTACGTATTTTTCGTGCTTTCTGCCCACATTCAGTTGTTTTGAAAACACATGCCCCATACATGTATGTCCTTGGGAATCGATCCAGGTTCACACTCTTCTTCTGCCTCAAATTTGGGAGATGTTAGATTACTGAAGAGTTTGTCATCTTAAAATTTTAACTATTATGTAGCCTGCTCTAGAACACCTTACATTTTTTAAAAGTACATGGATACCTTAGTCCCGACGACTCCAATTTCATTTGGAAATTTCTAGAGCAGGTCTACAACAGTTGCCATAAGAGAACACAGACTCACAAGAATTAAGAAGTTACTAATTAATATTCATACCCATTCGTTTTTTCTGCTCCAGCAAGAAATGCCCAGTGCGCCAAGACTCCAAGAGAACCGGAAAGGAGGTCCCCCTGTCCACCACATCTCCGGCTGCTTCCTTCGTGACTGCATACAAGTACTACGAACAGACAAACCGAAAACAAAGTCACGTGCGTTTTTTCTTCCATTTACAATGATATCACTGTAGCTGTGAGGGTTAACCTCCAAGGCCCACAGCAATTAGCAGGTCAGAGATTAATCACAGGCAGCAGCATATGCTGAAATACACTATTCTTAAAAAAAAAATTATCGCATTAACATTTTAAAAATACTTTTCTAATTACTTTTCAATCCCTCACAAATAACACGGCACAATGTATACACTTTCTCCACTTCACTCAGCCTGCACAGAAGATTCAGTCGCTCATGAGTTTAGTGACTCTTGAACTGATGCTGCCACGATGAGCAATCACCCCAAAATGGACCCACCTCCCTCCACAAAGCCATTGCACAAACGCAGCTCTCCAGAGTCTCTGACCTTCAGAGTTTACAAATGTAAACCAAGGTGTTTTACAGGGAGCAAATGCAAAACAGGACTTAAAAACTCAGATCTTCTGCCATGCCCATCAGAAAGATATTTCACTGAAAACAGCCTTCTCCTTAGGCTTTGTAAAAACCATATGCAAAGAGAGATCTCTCTCTCTGCCCATCAACAGTGTCCTCGGCATCCGCGTATGTTTCTGTCAGCGGTGTCACTGTGGGTAGGCTCTGTCAGAATATCAGCTGTTACATTTCTATTTTAAATATACAAAGGACCTCGGTCAAACCGATCTCTCTGTGGAGCTTTAACAATGAAGAACATGCAAATGGTTTCACTCCTTTGTTCTCCGCTCTCAACAAGCCCAAGCAGGAAGCCTGAAGGATACGTGAGGCACACAAAAAGAAAACAGCATCAATTCTGCTGCCCTTCTCTAAACTCTCTTGTGGGTACGTATCTACCCTTAGCTTTCCTTCTTGCTAGGCTCTGAAAAAAACCCAGGAGAAATTTCTTTTCCTCTCCGAGGAGAACGGAAGAGCTGGCAGAATCATTGATGGCCAAGTAGTGATCCTTCACATCTCCAGTCAGCTCCTGTGGAGCTACTCAGGTTCAGGACTATGCACACAATCGTTTGTGCGCTCCCGAGCATGCCAAGTGCACAAGCAAAGTATAAAGCAAGACATTGCTTGGACAACAGCTCTTATCTCAATTTTCTCAGGTCACCTAGGCTGGGTTTCTCCAAGGTGTATGAACAGAACAGCCCAGGCGTTTTAGAGAGAGTACTACACCTATTTTCAAAAGGAATTTTTCTCTTACAAAATAATGGGAAAACTCTGCACAAACCTGAAGGACTCGCAGGTAAACCTTCTTAAATAGCAAGATGTAAAAAACTACTTAACGCAAGCAAACCCTTTCCAGTTCATTTGCATGGTTCATTTCTGCTTTTTGTTACTCGGTGCAGCAAAGAATTGTATTTCACTTCCATTTCCTACCAACTCTTCCAGCAGTAATTGCTGGGCTCGTGAGGGCAGGCAGTTGTGCATTTTTGCTGCCACTGAGAGGGCAAAGATTCATTAGTCACCGCGAACACAGCAGACACTGCTGCAGTGTTGCCAGCAGTTAATATTCCCAATCACTCTTCTCCCCTCCCCCCCAAATTAAGATTCCGGATGTGTTTCTCAGTGAGCAGTAGTTAATGTCAAATTTCACAAGTGCAATGCTCTTCTGAGTTAGCTATTTGAAGAAGGTATGCCCTTTTAGGTGACGCAGGTTTTGTTGTTGGTTTGTTTTTTTTAATACAGTGCTTTGGAGAAATTACCTCTAATTCTGCTACTTTGAAGATGGTATCTCACAGGATTTTCACTTTGAGGGCTTGAACTCCTGGCAGGAGGCAGGATGGAAATCCTCTGTTCAAAAGCTTTGGGGCCTTCTGACTGACAGCTGAGCACAAGCCCCTGCTTATTAGCTGTATGTCACCATCTGCCACTATTCTGTAGCCTCACAACCTTACAGTCAGTTTTTGAGCTGTACAGGAAAGCAAGATCTCCTCAAACTAGGCCAATTATAATACCCTGCTACCAAAAAAAGAAGTGGTCTTTTGTTTGTGGTTTTTTAAAAAGTAAGTCTCAAATATGTGCAGACTACCTCACAGGCAACAACAAAAGCAGACCTTTGTACTCCGCACAGAGATGCTGGAAAACAAACCCACGCAATAGCTTCAAAGAAGCAGAACTACAGGGAATTCACTTGAATGAGGGGGGAAAGGTACAATGCTCCAGCAATTCTTGTGCAGAGGCTCAGTTCCTCAAAGAGCATCTCAAAATAAAAGTATGATGAACATTACAACAGGCAATGGGAAAAGGAATGAAAAACTCCTCTGAAGTATAGTCACCGTTAAGAGCTTTTAAAGTAAAAGAAGGAATCCCACACTACCATCAAGACAAACTGACATACTGCCAAACCCACAAAGAACAAAGTCTTCCTGATGCTTTCCCCAGCCTTCTCCTAGAACAAAAAAAAATAAAACCGCTGTCTTCCCACTACCCCAATCCAACATCCCCCACCAAGCATCTGTGATCCACTGGCCAGCTCAAGCAGTTCTTTAAGGACCACGAGCGATGACAGCCTTATATTCTGCACTGGGCAGTGACAACCAGTGGCAGCGTTACAAGACCTCGATTAGATGGACATGACTGAATAGTCAGCCATGATGCCAAGAAGGCGGGTAGTTCTATTCCCTGGAGAGATGCAGAACGATGTATTTAGATGAGGATGAAGTATTTTTCGGTCCATTGCTCAGTGAGGCTACACCACGTTCAACTAGGGACGAACACGTACATCAGAAAGCCTAGAAAATGTGGTTCTTCCAGCCTGGAATAGCTGAGGAGACCTGGACAACAGGGAAACTGCAAAGACTGAAATCACCACAACGTGTCAATGTTGAAAGGCAGCAACCGGGGCCACTTAAGGTCAATCAGTCTGACACCACTCTCAATCAAAATAATGGAGAGGTTCATCTATAGTTCAACTGACAGACCTTAAGAGATAGAAACACACAACCAATGCTGGTCAAATTGGCTGCTGGGGCGGGGTGTCCTGTTTTGGTTTTTAATAGGTCTGGGCTACCAAATCTGATGTCATTATTTCACAGGGTGATGAATCGAAAAAATAAGTCAGTATAATTAATAGACGGTCTTTTAATGAAAACTGATTTATGCCAAGCAGCTTTCTGAAAAGAACCCTACTTCCTAGCACTTATCCTTATAGAGCATACACATACTATCATAAGAAAAGGCTAGATGAAATAAAAATGTTATCGTTGAAGAAATCGCTGAATGAAGTATGGCAAGGAGATCTGCTGGAGTCACAACCACCACAGCCCTATTCAACACTTTCAACATAATCTCAGCGATTAAACAGAGCATAAATATTGCCAGAGCTGTACACAGCAAATACAACACGTCCCTCACATATAGGTAAGCAAGAAACCTGGGTGACTAAGTCCATCGAAATGGTTTGTACTGAAATATGAGTGCAACAGAAACAAAAACCGTGAAGGCTGTCATATTGACAGAATATTGGAAAGTAGAAATTCAAGTAGGTTCCACACAATTCAAAATTCTGCCCCAGACTTCCTGGGTAACTATGGCCAAGTCATTTACTAGCTCTATGCTTAGTACATTTCAGGCCAGAAAGTAAGTTACCATCACTCCCTTTTCAGCACTCCTTGAAAAGAATATAAACATCAGCGTTTGCGGAAGCATTCAGACCATGGTGCCACGCTTAACTATACCATTGCCAGCAAGTTTTAAACTGAAGGAACTCCCAGTCCAAACTGTGTTGGCAGATCAAAGCCCAGAAGAATGACCCATTTAAGGGTATTGCGTGCTTAATTAAAAAAACAGCCTGTTACGCAACTGAAAATAGCTGCCCTGTCTTTGAACGAAAAAAAAGAGAATTTAGTAGTTTTGCTGAGATAAAGCACTATGAGTTAACTGGGCAGCAGGAGTTTTGATATGGCTGTACACAGGCAGCCCTACTTACAACACTAGCTCCTAGACACATTACAGTTAGAAAACCAAAGGCCCACGTAGTATAAAAAGTAACGTATGTCTGTGTGTTCTTGATTTGCAACATTCATAGTAGTGGGAAAAAAAAAACACCCAACCCAAAACAGGGATTCATTTTTGTTGTTTTTGTTTAGAACACAGAACGTTTAATATGGGCTAGCTAAAGGTTAAACACGTAATACTGATGGTGATAAAGAAGGCTAAAGAGCCAATGTGAAACATCACGCTTACTGAGGCTGCAGACCAAAAGACAGCTTGGAGATTAAAATTTAATTCTTGAATCTCGGATGTCCTGAACAAGTTCTTTGCATGTGTTCTCCTCTTACAAAGCAGGAGTATTACACTTATCCGAATGTGCTCAAGGACCCACGCATGAAAAGTATGACCATTCTGACTTCCGGTATGATCCAGCCGGATTAGGTCAGCTAACGTGAGCTACCCCACAGAACAACAAATACCCTCGTTTAATTAAAAAGCTTAAGATTTCCATTTTCTATGCAAAATAACATAGCTGTCAAGGACCATTTTGCTCCATCAACTGCAAGATTCAGGTTTAGACCGTTATCAGATCTTGAGTAAAATCTTTTACCAATATACATCTCTGACCTGGCAGATGTTCACGAGTACTAAGAAGTTTATCTTTTTCCTTTTGCAAGTTAGTTCACAAAAGCACATAGCTGGAGATTGTGGACTCCCAGAAACATGTCCCGGAATGCATACAGACAGGAAAACCAGTGTTGATGACTTGGGCTGGAGAAATCACTCAACTGGTGTGGAAAACGTAAGTTGGCTTTTATATAAAGGGTGCTTATACTTTTGTATTCCCTAATCACACTTTTAAAACTTAGATAGGTCCTTGAGTGCGAGACACCAGGCAATTTAAGTTAAAAGAAAATAATCCAAACTTTATATTACGTTTCTTGGATAGGTGCAGGAGCCAGGGGATGGATGGGATGACAGATGAGCAGTGCCAGGGAGGCAGCAGGCTGGGCTGTGCATGCAATGGAGAGCACAGTGGCACCGTGGACAGGAACCACGACCTCCCTGTTCTGCTCACTCTGCAGAAGCAGGAGTGGAGACGAAGGTGCTGCCTCTCAGTTAAAATCTTGGCAAAATGTGCTGGGCAGCTGGACACCATAAGAGCTTTTAGCTAAGTGAGCTAAGGACTAACAAGCACTGACTAGCTTCCTTTCCGGCTGTATAGGGAATGAATGGCAGAACTCAGAAGTACTGCTTGAGAATTTATGGCATTTTACCCCATATTCAGGACTCAGTAATCCCTCTCACATGCTTCTTTGCTTCTCTTGACCATAGCTGCAACTGGAGAGAAATTATGTTTGGCTACTGGCTCCAGGTAAAAGTAGTCACAGGCAGCAGCGGGCTGGTTACCCATAAAGTCTGCCTTTTGGAAGGGAGGAGAGAACAAACACAGGTACTGGGGAAAACTACAGAAAAACTCACTATAAACATTAAAAAAAAACCCAACCAACCCAAAAATCAAAATCCTCTACTTCAAGGACCTAACCAAATTTTAAACATGTTAGGAACTAAGACTGGTATAACCACACTTTATTATTGACCAGTTCTCCAAAGAATAATAAAAAGAAAACCTTAGAGAGCTGCGCCGTAGTGAATAAAAGCTGACTTACCTTTTACCCACAGGCTGAGTACTCTTTCCTACCCTGGTCAGTGATGGCACTGATATCACCTACCAAGAGCATGGTGAAGCTCATCTTTGTAGAGCAGGGAATCAACAACTGTAGACCAAGCTATAATGTGAAATTGCAAAAGGAAAGAGAAAAAGAGTATATAAAACTTAATTTAAAATCTTGGTGATTATGTTTACAGGGCAGTTGGCAGCTCTTAACTGAAACGGAGACAAATTTTAGAAAAATCTCCTTTATAGTGGAGGTCTGCTACTGATTTCACAGAGGCCACGTACATGATTCAGTACTGATTTTAAGGCCATAAGGAACCACCGGCATTATCTAATCTGATCTGTAAAAACAAACCTCAAAGGTGTCCAGACACTTCACAGTTTGGGAATCTACCAAAGTTCTAGGTATTGTCATAGCCAATTTCTTCATCTGTTAATAAAATCTGCCTTACTTTTAATCTGAATTTATTAAGCTTCAGCTTGCAATCAGAATTTATTCTGTCTGCTCAGATTACAGAGCTATCTGCTGACAGTAATCCTTCACCAACACCTGCACCTCCAGCTCACTATCAAATCACCTGATAACCTTTTTCATCTTCAACTAACAGAAGTAAATTGCCTACTGAATTTCCTACAGATGCATGAGTAAAAATATTGTGGAAATAACCACTACAATCACTCTCAAGCTATAAAGTATTCACCAAGCCAGTCTTCCCTGCTGCAAATTCGGCATCCTCGAAAAGCCTTCCTTCCACAACAGCCAAGCACAGAACACTAAAGCTACATCATTAAGTCTGCAATTTCTGCTTTTCCTGGAGGGCATTGAGACTTACTTTTTTTCAGAAAGCACACACGCAGTATATTCCCAAAGGAGAAAGCTTAAAAGCGATATACGGAAACTACAGTATCAGTGTGCTAAGCACATTTCAAGCAGGAAATGCCTGAAAATAGGTACGGCTTAAGCACTACAAAACGGATGATGACATGAAAAATAAAAGGCAAGAGGAGTACACAGCTCTTTTCGTAATATTTGATTGTGCTCAGAGGACATTGGCCTGAACCAATGATCTGGATTTCCCTCACACTGGAATCAGCATGTATGTTGTCTCAGCTGAAAAAAAAGTGGCATCAGATCAAAAGAACAGGCAGATGAAAAAAGCAGAAGTTCAGAACGAAAAACCTGGGAGAGAATTCAACGCCAGTCACATGACAACATGTTCTGTGTTGTTGCACAGAGCAGAGAGTAAATCTCCTTTCTCAATGTAGTTTTGCATTTGAGAAGCTTTTAAAAATTGACTGACAGTAACTCCCAGACCCAAAGACCATTCTTGTTAGAAGGAAGCTGAAGTCTACAGTTTCTGCAAAATTCTCAGGAACCTTCTTGCAGGCAACACAAACCGTAAAAAAACAGTGTTTGTAACAGACATTATAACCTGTGTTAAACCTGACAACTGCTTTTTGACAGCTCAGCAATGCTGCTTGTAATGCCTGTAATCCAGGAGAGAGAAAGCATCAGTGATAGAACCAAGGTAAAAGATAGAACAAGAAAGCAGCCTATAGCTGGACATCAAACAATTGCTATAAAGGCACAGAACTGTTTTCATTTCAAATCAAAAAGCCACTTAACTAAGAGAAAAAAAATCAGAACACAACAGAGACAAAGAACAAGGTGGGGGAAAAAAATAAAAACAACAAAAAGCCCCCAAAGCATACAAGACATACACCAAACTTGTGCCACACTTGAACATTCAAAATTGAAACTGGAAAGAGTTTCAGTTGTTTCCTGGTTTTTTTGAATCCTGCATGACAAGTGACAATGGAGACTGAGCGTCCCCTTTCTCCGGCAATGGTGGGGGTACACTTATCTCAAGAATAACAGCTCAAAGGGAGAACAGTGATATACTAGGTAATGTGCTCAATCTAAAGCGCTCACCCAGTTTTCCCGACATTCATTAAAAAAAAGCAACAATCCTGCATAAAAAGAACATGGTTGACATAAAAACAGAGAAAGAAGATACGCTACAGTGCTCTAAAGCCCTCTAGCTGGCATAAACTGGAGCCAGGACATTTTATCCTCTGGCAGAGTTCATTCTCCCTTAAGCCTGGCCTGACTGTCCAAGGTTCCAAATCAAGTCTGCTATGGGTGCAAATGTGACAGCAGACTTCATGCAGGGCAACTTGGGTACTATATGACCGATCAAAGTCCTTCACCACAGAGGTGTAACTATATTGCTTCCAGATCCCAGCTTGCTTCGCAGTCTGCTATAGTATCTGTACTAATGGGGGCAGGTGGAAGGTGGCTCTGCACAAACCAGTTGTCATATTACATCTGTTTTTCTGTTATAAAAGACTCCCATGGCTCCCAATAATGAAGAATTGGCTGTATATACAAAATGGTTCTGAAGCGGCATAAACATTTATCAGAGATTAGCATTTCAAGTAATTAGAGGCAGAGCTTCTGCTTGTTATGTATGTGAAATAAGACCACGTAGTCAAAATGCAATGAAGTTACTCATGAATTAATTTTATACTGATCACAGTAAATGATCAGTATAAAAAGCATCAGACAGGCAGCTGATTTTATTAGAGTATACTTTAACCATATTAGTAAGTGACTTTTTAAAAGTTGTAACGGCAATCTAGAGTTCATTTTTTGTTTTTTTTTTGGTTGTTTTTTTTTTTTTAAATTGTCAGGGCTAATGTACAAGTCATATATGCACATGCTAGTCTACAGCATGGTGGACAGTATCAAGGAATTGAGCAGCTCGTGAACCTCAAGACGTCTTCATTTTTCAGACACACCAATATATGGTGAAACAACAATATTATTCTGTATTAATTTAGCAATGACATCTGCACTTATACAGACCATCTCAGCTAAGGATTTTAAAACAGTTGACAAAGAATAAAAAATTAATTTTTCAATACCTGTGTAATGTAAAACGTGTGTTATAACCATTTAAATGAGAAATAAAATGAGCAACTTTTTTCAGCAAATAAATTCAGTTGAACTCTTAAAATACGAATTTACACAAATCATCTAAAGGCGATCTGCAAAGACAGCCATCCGTCCCCTTCAATCTTCAGGGGAATACAGTCAACCAGTTACTATATATAGTCCAACCACTGGAGTATGACTGAAAGCAAACAAACAAACAAAAAAAATCACGTTGCTAAAAGCAAAAGGCTTCACTTACCTTTCTCTCCATCTGAAATAAGATCTCTTTCTCCCTTTTGAACAACTGTCAAATTCCCCATGGCTTGGCTGAGTCTTAATACACATCCATGGTGATCACTACTGTCTACGGGGTCTCTAAGCTACAACACAAGAATTCCATACACAGTATAGATTTTGCTACTAGAACAACATCTCTAACACATGCTACTTCAGCGTATGTATGGGGAGGGGAAAGCATCATCATCAGTCTTTCCAAGTATTTTTATTCTATACCCACTGCAGTGCCAAAAAACGCTTAAGAAAGACGAGTCTTTTTTAAAGAGCTCTGTTTAAGAATATGCATTGTCATGGCAATTATCCCATGGAATAAAAACCCAGGAGAATGCTTCTCTTGCATATAAGAAACAGCACATGATGTTTAACCCAGTAATAAACTGTTTATTTTCAAAGGCTAAAAGACTGAACTTACACGTACTTAAATATCAAAAAGGAAAACAGCTCACCATGGCTTCATACAGTCTACTAAACTCCATATAGTTTGGAGTAAGAATAGCTCGCTGGTAGCCTTGAATGAGAGAAGGCTGCTGGGAAATGAGCCACAGTCCATCCTGCAAAAAACAGTAAGAAGAACATTTACTGAATAGAGTCTTAAATGTCAAACCATTGACTGAATCTAGAAAATACTTACAGCATCAATAATGATAGGAATTCCTTTGACTTTCGATTTTTCTATAATACCCTGAAAAAAAAATGCAGGTAACTTTAAGATGCTTGCTAATTTAAATCTCATAAGACCTGAAACAAATTCATACAATAAATCTGATCATATAAGTTGCAAAATAAGATACAAAAAAATCTGTTATATTCTGCAAAGTAATATAAGACATTTTCGTATCAACTGGTAATGTTACAGTTACATTGTTCTCTCCCTGGTTCAAGTATAAGCAGTGTCAACAGGGTTTCCATAACTGATGCCTTGGTGTTGATAGGCAAACAAGCAATCAAACTCACTCACTCTCCCTGCTGTAGGAGGCATGCAATGCCAACAAAAGTCACACATAGTAGACATACATCTCCAATTAAAAAGAAAAATCCAAATGAGTATTGCCATGATAGAAATCTACCAATAACTATAACACTAGTTTTAGTTGCTTTTCTGATGATAGCCCCATTGCGGTACTTGAATTTATGTACAAGCAAACATCCCCAGACAAGCAGTACGTAAAACATGCCATTTCACTCGTGGTCCTGGAGGTTTTATACTTTCAAAGCGAAAGCAAGGCAGCCCAGGCAACAGACCATTTGCAAAAGTGTTTTCCAGCAAGCGGTATCTACCAGCAGACCGTCTGCCCTTGTTCTCTCTCCTAACCGAGCAGTGGCCACGACTGCTACTCAAGCTTTTTTAATGAGCAATGGCTGACAGTCAAGTTTTTTTTAATGTTGGTCATTACCAACTTGTCTCTGAAGCTGGAGAGTTTATCTTTTTCCTGTTTAAGATAAGGATGGTTATCCAGCCAAAAGTCTAATTATTTTTGAACGTTATCAAGCTCTTCAGATCAGCTATCATACGGTACTGAGCTCCACAGGTTAGCAAGACATTATGTAAGGAGTAAGGAAGCAGTTTTTAATTAATTTTCAGGGTACTGAACATACCTCTATTCTTGTATTGTGGTCAAAAATAAACACCACCCACCTTGCTTCCTGTGAATTATGAATTATGGCATATACACATCCTCGCTAACTCATTCCTATCTGATTCTGATTTTTTCCAATACCAGTAGAAATCTCTCCCTTCTATTTTTAAATGGATGACCAGAATTTAGCAGCGTGCTTCAACCCAACACTACTTCTGTTTTGTTTGGGCACTGTTTGCATGTTGTAAGTGTGAGACTGAAACGCTACCCACCGCTCCAAGCCTGAGGACTTGTCTCGACACACAGCTGCAGCTACATTAGAAGCCACTACAGAACAAAAACCTTTCCATGACATACACATGCTTGCACAGGTCTCGGCTTGGGCTGTGTCACAGACTGCCAGGTGCCCACCCTTGCTGGGATTCCAAGGGAACACCACAAGCCTTCTCTTACATTCAGTTACTTAAATAACTTTGAACCAATCGCAAGTTTTACACAACTCACACCATTCAGCTACTACTAAATTAGTCAAATTTATGAGTAAGTATCTTTAACAGCTGTGCAAGGATGGAATCTTAAAACATACCTAGAATTAGTTGTGGCATACTGAAAACCAGAGCGCCTTATTTTCAAAGCTTTTAAGAAATTTATGAGACAGTCACTTCTTTATTCATTAACGTTAATCTGCACAGATGTGCGCAGCTCAGTTTTCCTTCACAGAAGCTGTACTGCTTTGCCCCTGCTGTGTTAAGTTCATTAACAATTATGTTTAATTTGACTCACTTGGTTATAATAAAATAAGGCTGTGGATCTAGCAACCAGGTTTACTTTTTTTTTCCCCTGTATAAATGAATGTTATACATCCAACAGTCCAATTATTTTTGAACCATACTATGCTCTTCTGATTAGATACCATATGGCACTGAGCCCCAGAGGTTAGCAAGATATTATGCAAGAGAGCATTCAGATCATCCTCCCCCAATTTTTGAAGACACAAATACCATTCACTGCAACCTCGTTTTCTAACTTGTTTTAATCAGAATATTTTTGTACATTAGCAGCTTCACCAAACTCCTTCAGTACACTTAAAATGATTACTGCTCCACTTCCCACTAATATGAATCACCAGTTTATTCTAGTAAGTCAACTTTAGTAAGCCAATCTTTCATGACACTTCATTTTTTAAAACCAAAAAAGATTTCCCCAACAGATTCCATAAGGAAGTCTGAAGGAAGACACCAGATCTCGGAAGTCCTTATCCTTCCAAACGATTCTCTTAAATTAAGGTCAGGTTGGACGGGGCTCTGAGCAACCTGACCTAGTTGAAGATGTCCCTGCCCACAGCAGGGCAGTTGGACTAGATGACCTTTAGAGGTCCCTTCCAACCCAAACTATTCTATGATTCTAAATTCATTATGAGCAATCCACAGAACTAATTTTCCTAAAGTTCTGTTCCTGAAACAGTTAAGGTTTGGCTGCTGCTGTTATTGTTTGGCCCCTTTTCATGTTTCCTCCTAACTGTCATCCTGACTATGGGTTAGAAGTTCTCCTTTTGTCTATATATGTATCTAACAACAGGCTAAGTCAAGAATCCTGAAGATCCATTGTCCACCAAAAGAATGTAAGTTTAAGAAAAAAAAAAAGAACGTGGAAGTTACGAAGCATGAAAGTACACGTACAGGTAAACAGCTTCTGGAAGGCTGGGTCACTGGTACACTCCAGAGAAATAAGACATTTCTTCCTAATAACATTTTGAGTTCCTACCTCTCCAGCACGTCTTCCACAATCCTGAGACATTTGACCTCTGCTCTGAAGAGAAATTTCATCTTGCTAAGTAAAAGCTACTGACCAAGCAACTTTTATTGCGTACCGAGTCTCTGAGGTATCACTTTCTATTCTAACATACTGAGTGATCTTTGCTTTTTCTTTCTCTCCTTATAAAACAAATAATCAGGGGATACAAAGTCCTTTGTCTTATTTAGAAAGCTCATTTTTTATTTAAAAAAAAAACAAGCCCAAAAACAAAACCAAAACCAAACAAAAGAGTACCCTAATTATTTTCCTTTCCTATTCCTTCCTTAAACCCAGACCGAAACTGCCTGGAGACAGACAAGGAACCTCAGAGAGGAAGTTCTGGGGAGGGAGGGCGTAATCTGGCAACCGTAATAAAGCAGAAACAGAGAGAAGAGAACCCCCATAAGGCAACCACCCGTTTGAAGGACACAACATTCATTGGAGAACCTCTGTTTCCTATTGCTTGTGGACCCATCTCATCTGCTGCCATTTAAAGGTCAAATGGCTCACCGCTGGAGAGCAATTCATCTTAGACATCCGCATTTAGGGTGGGATGAATCACCAACAGACATACCTGCCTCTCCTCAGCTATCACAGAGGGAGCATAGATGCTTTACTGCTTTATTTTTAGACATGAAGAATTAGGGGAGATGAAGCCCACTTTTAAACACTCCATTACTGCAGATACTGTATAAAAAAAAAAACCAAAAATATTTGCCTAAGAGGTGTTTACAGCAATAATGGCAACATCCTCTATGCAGAGTATTTTGTTCCTGGAAGCAAAAATCATTTTTCAGCTGAATCTATATCTTTATATTTGGCATGGACTTTCCTGGTTTAGTACTTGTAGCATACAGAAGAACCTTCACTGTTATTTGCACAATTAATACAGCTCAGACTAACTTTACTTTCGCACCAAAACCTATTTAACGGTTTCTGATAGGACTCTATGTATTAGCAGGAACCATCTGTTCAGTTTTATCCCATGTAACAATTATTCATATGGGAAAGGATTTAGAAGAGAACATTGCTAATTAAAGAAATTAAGAAACATTACTAAGACAAGACCTGAAATCCAAACACCAATCACACAAGTAAACAGCAACACATGCAGGTATGACAAAACCAAGACATTACCCCTTCCCTTCAAACAACACTTTGAATATTAAGATTTTGGAGATTCTAGCTCCAAGATATCCCAGTGGACCACCTTTCTGTGCACAGAATGTATTATACCATAACAGCGGCGGGTCAGCTTGGTGCAGAACAAGGCAGGGGGCCTTCCTTCTCTCGAAAGCACTCGAGGACATCCAGAAATGAAGGACTGGACTCACAGGGCAACCCTGGCACTAGCCACAAGTAGAGAGGACAATGAGGAGGAGGAGGAGAGAGTGACATGCTGCTGTCATCCAACCTCATGACCTACAGTCACACTGGTTAGCTAAGATATTGAAGACTGATACCAAAGCTTCCTCTCCTAATAATTGAAGACCAAAGTTTAAGTTTCTATCCTAATTAAGCCAAAAAGGAAATGACCTGGGATTCACACATCCCACGAAGGTGCTGTATGGGACAACCTCCCACACAGTTGTCATTTGTTAGTGGCACCAAGTACTCCACATTTAGGAATGCACAAAATAATATTTCAGTGATTGCCATTTTTGGTGGAGGTGGTTGAAGGGAGAAGAGCCGGAGGGGGTGAAATTAACCTGAATCTACTCCCACTCTACTCTTGAAATACAGAGTTTCCTGAAAAAAATCTTTATTCTGTGACTGGGTATCCAGGACTTGTATGCAAGCAACCTACTCAATAAGAACTGAAAAAGAAGTTGTGTCACAGTAGAAACCAGTGCTCTATCTGGGTAAAGGTAACCCTTTACTGTAACCGGGAAAATTTACAAAGTAAGGGCAAAGAATTTATGTGTTTTAATTAATTCTTTTATTCTCATGGAAGCTATTCCTTGAAATGCAATGCATTCATTTTATGAGAAATCTGTGTTCTCTGTCCCAACTTTCACATGGGAATTTTAAAATAGATTCCTAAAACCAAATTCCAATCTTCTTTTTTTTAAAAGAAACAAAAACAAACAAAAAAACCCACAAAACCCCCAACACACTGAAACCAGAACACCACACACATGAAATCAGAATCATTCAGGCTGGAAAGGACCGCAGGAGGAAGAAGCTTGAAGGAACGAATGGACAGGCTACTGCTGAGAGAGGGCACAGTAATGCAGAAAAGCATGATATGATTTATCCATTTGATAGCCTGTGGCTGTGCTACAAAACACAAGATTCACATGCATTGCAC